TTAAGTCCATGTGCAGCTTCTTACGGAAGAATGCAATTCACCTCAAACACATGAGCGTTCATTACTACGTGTTAAAAAGTTACCATGGAGCTGAAAGACTTGATCTAAGGTGTCAACTATTTATACGAAGGCGTGTGGAGTAATCTGTTTATGACTTTAACAAGAAAACAATCTGTTTCTGCATTTAGAGTCAGTCCAGACATCTCTGAAATACTGGGTGCCTGGTACTCTGTGGCACAGTCGAGGTCATAACCCTTGTGCTAACTTGAAGGTTTTTGTGTGGATGGCCTGAAAGCTAGCTGGTGAAAGGGAAGATGGAGATTGCGGCTCTGCTGCAGAGTTCCATGTCTGCTTCTTTTTGGAGTGAAAGAAAACCGCCACTGAGTTTCTCTCGTCCCTCCAGGTTGAATTTGTGTCTTTGTTTAGGGAATAGAAATAACGTATCAGTTGTGTCATGAGCTGGCTAGTGGTGAAAGGAAAGGCAGAAAGGTTCAGTCATGTGGTGCTCTTTAATTATTAAACGGCTGTCTGAGGGCAGGATTGGGGGCTGAGAAACTGGCGTGGACAGGGCTCTGCTCCCCGTTCCCACACAGGCTGTCACTCACAGACTTGGACTTCAGCGCCCTCCACTCATCCTCTCAACCCTCCTTCTTGCGCTCCCAAGTTTTAATGCCTAAAATCCCCATTCCCAAGTTGAACCTAGTGAGCTGTGAGGACAGGGTGCGTGGGAAGAAATCTGTGAAGAAGAGTGAGGATTGTCTGCTCGGCCCTTAGGGTGGGGACTGGACGGGTAGAGAAGAAAAGCCTATTGACTCGGAAACCGTCTGGTTCAGCCCCGCAGAAGAGAAGTGCCTCAGCACACGTGTAAGCTGCTGCGTTACCCCAGTGACTGGGGAACGGTATCTGTGCTTTGTTTATCAGTAGGTCTAGTCACCTCCAAACTCCCTTTGACTTCAAGCATTAAGCTTCTGCCTAGTGGCAGTTGGCAAAGGAGACTTGCAGTGCCTGACTGGAGAGAGAACCCCTTTTGGAGCTCCTGCTGCAATGTTATGACAAGCTTCTCAGCTGCAGCTTAAAGGCCCAACAGAGATTCTTGTGATTTGACTTAAGGGATTGCTTTCAGACATGAAGCAAATAAGTGATTAAGTATAAAGAAGATGTGGTAATGAGTTTCAGATGAGGTCTCCTATGTTTATTAAAAGAGGTCTGAAAGTTTGCTGCTACTACTATTTCTTGTTTTCTAACTTAAAAAGTCATCTTTGAATCTCATACTGCATGCTGCTTACAAACTGCAAGATCCTATTACAGTAATACTGTAAAAAAAGTCTTAAAAATAAAATAAATCCAGTAGAATATAAATCTTTTTTTTCCAGTGTAGAGAAAAGCAGTGAGCCATTTTAAGAGCAGGAAGAACATGCATTTCAAGATCCAATAGATCATTTAAATTGGTCCCAAACCAAGTTTTAAAATGGCATTGCAAAGACTTTTGCTTTGAATAAATTTAGCATTACAAACCTCAGAATATAAATAAAAATAAATTAGATTTGCTGATTGTTTTGTTCTGTACTAATATTCTGATTAATTAGGGAAAAAAAGGGCTTAATACGTATGACCCTTTCTGACTATTCCAACTGCAGAACTTAAAAATGTTAAACTAACATTTATGCCCTTTCAGTTACTTCCATCTAGCTTTTTATTATGAATAAACTTTATGAATTTCTAGGTAATGTAAACCTTAAACGCTTGTTCTGTATTTTCTGACATTTGTATGTTTGAAATTTGGATTCGTGAATCTAAAATTTCTCACTTGCCTGACTTTCTGCAGCTCTCTTGTAGATGGAGAATTATTCTAGATTGCCACATCATATATTTTCTATCCAAACCTTGTCTTCTCAATGGCGTACCTTGCAGCCAAAACAAGCCTGTGTGGGTCCGCTGAATGTGAACACCTCGTTTCAGAGCTGCAGAAGAAAACAGTATCAGAAAAATGGTCTCTATTCAAGGAAACCTGTCTTTGTAATAAATGATTGCACTCTCTTTATCTTAGTTCTCTACTTTGCATGAAATGATAATGTCACTCTAATGGCTTGCAAACCTTGCGAAGGTCCCCGGCGCCCACGCTGCCACCTCCGTGTGCTTTCTGTGCTACGTAGGGTCTTGCTCCCTCTGGGTGGAGTGGAAGGGCAAATGCAGAAGTAGGTCTATAGCATTATTTTTAGTATCTCCTCTCCTGGATTCTAAGTTTCGATGTGTTAACCAGCCTTCTGGAAAACTGAAATCCTTCACTAAGAATAAACTCCTTGATTTCTGTACCCCAGGCTTGAATTTGGAAGTTTGAGACTGCACAAGGAATGCGGAATTGAATCTGTAAAGCTTAACACTAACAGTGGGTTGGTTTTGTTGATCTCTTATGTTTAAAAGTGCTGACAAAGTTTCATGGGTAAACTATATTTTCTTGTATTATTTTTATTTACAAATAAGCCTTCAATAATGAGGCTCACATTAAAAAAAAAAAGTGTCTCGCTTAGTCTTTAAAAACTTGATATAGGATGAAATCTGGTTTCTACCCCCAAATATCCCCACCCAGTACTCTGTGTTGTGCTGCCTGTGAGCTGCTCAGTGATTCAGTTGTACCTGCGTTTCTGAACCAGAACGCGGAAACGGGTGGGCTTTGGTGGCAGCACCCGCTGAAGGGACCGCTGCATGTGAGGTGCAAGTCTTGCAGTGCTGATGGTTAAACCCAAACATATTCTGTTGCTTTAATGAATTGAGATGTCTACTATTTTATTACAAAAATACCTTTTATTACAAAGGTATTAAGACTAGAATTTATGTGATGGATAATTCTTTCTTTGGCATTAGTGAATTAAGTTCTGCCCCTCAGCCCCCCCCAGCATATTTTAGGTTAGACAGAGAAATTGATAAATATTTTAAACTAGAGATACACATTCCAATTCAGTTTAATTTCTGTTGGGGTTTTTTGGCTGGTTTTTTTTTTGTCGTCCCCCCCCAATTCTTCTTCATTTCTCTGTTCAACTTAGCCCACCCTTCCTTACATTTTTTTAAACGTTCTTGTAGGAATAATGTTACTTGCTCTTTCCATTTCAGTGAAACATGATTTTTCATTTTGCTAATTATCAAGGTCAGTAAAGATTACATGCATCATATTTTGAACCCTCTACATTCTACAGTCAGTATCTTTATATTCTTGAATTAATACAGTATTGATTCCTAACTGTCTTATCTTTTCTACTATATAAAAAGCTGCACCATTAAAGCTTGCAAAACTTCATTTTCCAGCTCTAGTTTTTGCTTGCAATTCCCCCTTATGGTTTCACCTCCACTTCACCATCACATCATTGTAAGACCACTGAAGTATTTGCTTTATTCCAGTCCATTGTTATATTTTAATTTAAGGAAGCTATGACAAGATCTCTTACTTTGAATACCTTTTTGAAAGCTCTGGAGAGCCAGTAGAAGTTCTCAGAGATGGTGTCAGTGAGCATCTCGTGAGACAGTGACTGCTTCCTCTCCTCTCCACAGTGTGGAGAGCAACACCTTTTCCGTTCGCAATCGTACCTTGCCCTGCGGTAGCTACTCTAGCAGCGCTTATGTAGAAAGGTATTAGTAAAAAATGTGCTAGGAATTTGAAGCTGTGAAGTGGGATTGTTAAATCTGCTTGAAAAAAGTTGCTTTCCTGTCTAGCTTTTTGTTTCTTCCCCTATTTTGACATTTTTTGAGTGTTTCCGCCTGGATCCATGTGTATGTGGCCACTGCTGTGGCCATGTCTGCCTTTCCACATTATGCATACTTTCCTGTTTCTTCATTATACTCCCCAAAGAGCCAGTTCCCTCCTTCTCCCTTTCCTTGAACAGGTACCCTGTCATTTAGATTTTCCCTTTTCTTGCCACTTTGTTCCTTGCTTCACCAAATGTTTTTCTCTTTTTTGATAATAATATTTATGCTGCTGTCCTGCTCCCCCCATCCCCCCATCTTGTAATGGAGGAGAGTCGCCTATTTTTCCTCCTTATTTCCAAATGCTTCTACGAGTAACCAAGCTTTTAATTGCAATTAGGAGTAGAGCTGCTTATGGAAACAACTGTATACGAGTAGTAACCAGTATCAAGTGATCTGGATTTTTTCCAGACCACCAGCAAGTATTTGCCTGACCATAATCCGAGAACTGTTTGAGTTGCGTTGAGAGAACAATAAAATTGCATGCTTGGGCATTTATACAGCAAGAAATGAGAAGATCAAGGCTACATACACCTTCTGGGCTGTTAGAATGCTTTTGGTTTGCGTTGGGGTTTGTTGTTGTTGTTGTTGGTATTTTTTTTAGGGCTTCTAAAGGAAAAAACCAGTTATGTAATGCGTAGCAATTTGGTGAGGTTCTTTATTAAGACATTTAAGCTGAGGAAAATCCTTTATTTTGGTTGACAGGGATTTGTGCTTACTACAGAAAAGTACAGAAAGGGCCATTTGTTAAGCGACTTGTGTGTGATATACACCGGGGAGAAGTGAAGGACCTTCTCACTTCCCTATTCGCTGTCCCTCTGTTAAATAATTCTGTTTCTGGACTTCTGATCTGTGCCCAAACCTGGGTAGTGGCTGTAGTAGCTGAGTGCCCACTTCATGGCTTTAAGGGGCAAATTAACTACAGGATACAGAACGCTATTTTCAATGAGTTATGTATTTAATAAGTCATGATGATTTTTTTTTTTCAGTACTTTATGCATATGTCAAGTTAGGACTGTTTTAATGCTATTTCAAGTTTTGACTATTATACTTTTTCTATTCATGCTTTGGTGCTAAAAGTGCTTTCATTTTTTATTGCATTTTAACAAGTAAAAGAATCTCAGTCCGAGATAAAGTTGGAAAATCTACATAGAAAAGAAATAAAACATTTCCTAAGTGACAAAAAAAAGGAATTATAAAAAATAAATAAAATATGCTAATGATTTTTGCTATAAACCTAAACATGTTTGATTTACTTACTGTAGGTTGATGCCTTGCGGTTACGATTGGAAGAAAAAGAAACCTTTCTCAATAAAAAAACAAAACAACTTCAAGACCTCACAGAAGAGAAAGGAACCCTGGCTGGAGAGATTCGAGATATGAAAGACATGTTGGAAGTAAAAGAAAGAAAAATCAATGTTCTTCAGAAAAAGGTAAGAACACTGATGAAAGGGTATGCGGTAAAACTTCTGAGGCACATTTAAAGGAAATATATTTATTTCTTAGAGCATATTACTTTTAATATATTAAAAAAAATGCAAGGTGTAAGTCTGTAATAGTCAAATAGTTCTCTAATATAAAATATGTGTCACTCTTTTCCGTGGGATCATTTCTATAGTGTTATATCTTAATTATATTATATCACAAAAATATTAGGTGCAGCAGTTTCCACAAAATTATTGGAGTTAAATGAAAGTCCTAAAAATTCTGACAAAACTTCTCATCCCTCAACATGAGGGATTCCATTATCCTTACTAACACTGATTACTACTCTTTCCAAATGATGTAAATGAAATGTGTGGGACTGCTAAAAGATTAGGATACTGCTTTTTTTTCTTTAAAGACTTCTTTTGCAGGGGGAGAAGGGGAGCAGGGAAGGAACCTAAATTAAGTCAATTATCTGCTTTTCCTGTGAGCTAAAGACATTAAGACAGGAGGCTCTCTCTGAACAGTCTTATTAGTCTTATTTCTAATTTTCCACAAATTTAGCTAACTGCATTTACTCTCCTTGGGAAGTTGGGTTTAATCATTGTAGTTTCCACTTGAGGGGGTGGGGAGGGAATTTCCTGGCAAAGCAGCTCTGCAAGGGTTCTGCATACAGTAGTAGGGTGTTTATTTCCCATATCCTTTTTCTGACACTCACAAAAATATTTGTGCTAGCAGGTAAGTTCTTTGTGTGTCGTGTGTATCACTCTATCGTACATAGATGCACTTGTGAGCATAGAGATAAATGGAGAAAAAGTGCCTGGCACCACATACGTTTTGCTATTGCTTCTCCCCTCCGTTCACAGCCACTCAAAGAATGTCTACTCCTTACTCTCTATTCTTGTGTAGGTAGTTCATGTTACTGTGCTTTTCCTCCAGGATTCATACAGGGTTCACGTGGTCTAGCTGTTGTGCTTCTGTCTGCAATTAGTTAAATACAGTCTTTAAAAAGCCAAGTCCTTGTTTTCCAGAAACTGGGAGGACTGCTTTTTCAGGCCCAGGAAATAAAGCCTATCAAAACTGGAATATAGGTATTCATCCACTTTGATCCGATTTCTGAATATTTGCCTTGTTAGCGATGCTGATGATGTAAAGATAGCAAACTTCAAGCCTTTTATCCTGTGCTGAATGCTAATTAGTTTCGGACATCACTTGAGAATTTTGAAGAAAAGAATGCATCTTTTCTTACGGTTTGTATTCTAAAAAACCCCAAGCAAACCAACAATTTACAGTTGGTCTTGCATTTAGATCTTGAGGAAATGGATCAGTAGGAGGAACGTGGATTCGGTGATCAAAACTGTGTGATGAATATAACTTCTCACAGAGCTGTCAGCACTATCTGCCATGGCTATGTGCTCAGAAATATGCAACATAGTGTGGTTTTTTGGTTTTAATACATCATGGCTATTTTCTTAGGGCTTGCAGATGGCTCTTGTGCACCTGCTTCTTAATGGAAATAATCACTGTCAAACTGCACTATCTCTCTTCACTAAATCATAGCGTAAGCACGTGTTATAGCCTTGTAAGCTCTGGTATACAATGTGATCAATAAATCCTGCTAACTACTAGGTGCAAAATCAGAGTTAGTACTAAATTGATTCTTTAAAACTGGAAGTAGCACCTGAATTTTTTTGAAGTTTTTATTGTGGTAAATATGCTTCATCAGGGGACTTCTGAAGTTCAGTTTTTCTGCTATGGGCTAAATACTGGGTTTACTTAGAGAAGAATGGATTATGATGATTACTTAAAAAAAAAAAAAAAAAAGAGAAAAATAGTTCATTTACATCACATAAAAGTTATCTGTGGATTTGCTTCTCTGAAGTATTTTTAATAACGACGTTATCTTAATATGTAGATGTTAGCATGCCCAAAAATGCTAATATTGGATCATCATTACACCGTTATTTTGTTTATAGGAAAATAATCTCATATTTGGAAAAGACATTTTTAAAATGACCCTTAGGTCACATTTTCAGCTTTGGATCATTATTTTATTTGTGCCTCGCTTCCAATGTGTTTGGAGATAAATTCACTCACAGATAATTTGCCTAGAGAAAAATTTGATTGAAATATCGTCCTGCTCTACTCTCCCCTGTTACTTAAATAAATCTAGAGTATGATACTATAAAGGATGCTTTCAGTGTTTACTTTTCATGTGTCTGGTGTACAATTCTGAAGTAGAAAATTCTGTATGTCACCAATGGAAATCCAGGCTTTTAAATTCATCTGGAAAAATTAATAATCCACTTGTCTAGTCAACCCAAGTGTTCACCTTCATTTTGACGGTGCTTATGAGGTCATGCCTTCTCATGGTTAGCCTCCTGGAGCACCCCAGCGTCCTTGGCAGCAGGTGCAATCTCATCTCTGGACCACGATACCTGCATGTAGAAGGGAAGACCGTCAGTGTCTGTCTACTTTTTTCCAAGAAGCTTTCCTGGCATTAGTGCCTTTCTGTTCTAGACAATTTTATCCTCACTACATGAACTAACGTGTCCCAGGGCATTCATACCTCATACAGCCTTTATGTTCTGTCAAAGGCAAAGGGAGCACAGCTCCTTTTTGACCACAGGCAGATTGTTCATTCAGTCATGTGTTACTTCAGAAATATGTTGGACTATGTATAGTAGTAATTCCTAGTGCTGTAGTATTCTTATTGTAATATTTTTGAACAGTCACTTTTCAGGGATTTTCAGATAGTCTAGTAGTGGCTGCTGTGCTTTAAGAAAAAGATTGTCTGATGTACCTCTTTTCTTTCCAGTTTTGACAACATACCTTCCCAATAGCAACCCTATATAAGAATAAATTTTGATGGAAAAGTATTTAATATATATTGACTGCAGTAATTTTTTCCTTTACTTGAATCTAATTTTGCTTTTATCCTTTACTCCTTGCTGGATTGCACGTGCCTCTTGCATTCCTCCAGTTTTGCTCATCTTTTCCGACCTTTTGGCCACTTCTTCCACTCTCGTTTTCACTTCAAGTGATGGCAGCCAGACATTTGCGTGTTGAGCACTTAGAAACTAATTTGTGCTCACTGTGCACGTGTATGTGGAGCATTCAGTGGGTGGAAAGCAGCACGGGCCGGTTCATACGACACTTGGGGGGCGGAACAGTCGCCGGGCCCGCGAGTGGATTGTCCTGCCTTTGTAGGCCTTCTTTCAGGGCACTGCCCTGGTTGCCGTCCGACTCTCATGAAAACCCTTCTGAAAGTGAAGGAATTGCTTCTAGTTCTTCTTCCTAAGTTCTCTCTAGACATTAGATTCTTCTGACTGTAATATTATAATGCTTGTCTGTGCATTTTTATTTACTTTTGATATGAGGACTTGTGAATAACCAGTTATTTTAGTACCTTCATTTGTTGATACAAGATAGATGGCTACATCTCTCTCCACTCTGCCTGAAGTGCTTCACTCAGCCTAAAATAATATTTGTTTAATGATTGTATTCAAGTAATTGAAGAAGGACGAATTTGTATACAGTGCTTAAAAATATTTCGGTCAGTAATAACCTGAAACTGAGTAGGAAGGAATATGTAACCTGGAAAGATGCAATTTCTAATTCTCTGTTCTTTCTCTTGTGTAACATTACTGTTATCTGCCATGTTGAAAAATACAAAGGAAACCAAACCCAAAGCAGAAAAGCTCCTTTTCAAAGCTGGAGCTGTTTCTTCTCCTTTCTGGATAGCTGTTATACTTGGAGGACGGGAGAGCTGTTGAGGGCTCCCTACCAAATGTGTGGAAGAAACAAAAACACTGGCAACAAAACGGCTGGGGTGAGTCCCACGGGATGGCACAGGAACACACATAAGGCAATATGTTGCAGAAAAAACTAATGGGCTAGATAATGAGCTAATGATGCATTGTCCTTCCAGGCAGTGGGTTTGGTGTAATTTTTGACCAAATTGACAAACCGCTACGCTATTCAGTATAATTTGCGGGCTTAAGGGAGGCCCAGCACTGGAACAGCACGCATTTAGAAGATTTGGATCAAGGTAGATTGGCATGGAGTAATAATAAACTTATGTCAATGTCAGAGGTGCAATATTACTTAATATTTCTTTCTTTTAGAATCTTTGGCACCACTGTTCCATTTTAGTGCCAGTAAAGTTGGGTATGCTGTTTTAATAGCCTTGTTTAACCTGGCAAAGCTAGTCTTACACCTCATATCTGTCAGTTTAGCATGCAGAGGGGCAGACCTCAGAAATCTTTATGTATTTCTTACCAGAACGTGCAAGCTCCATGAATATGGCCAAGTTGTAGGCTGAAGGGCAGAAGCGCTGAACTGGATGATGATTCTTTCGTGTTCCTTTTTGCTCCCAAATTTTCTCTTTTATACAGCGCTATACCTGGTGTATTTTGTCCTCTAGGAACCTGTAGATATTTTAAAAAACAATTATATACTCTGAAGTATGAGTCTCGGTGTTGAAAACAGTAGCTGTTGAGACAAGAACAGCGCGGAGGATGTAGACCTGGATCACATTAGGACAACAGCTTGTGGAAATTCTTTTCTGGGGACTATTATAAAAGAACACCATGTAAAGGGGGCTAATATAATATTCTACTTTGACTTGCAACATAACTTTTCATCTAAAATGTTACAGTTTCCATCTTTAATAGTTTAAGCTTTGTGATTGATGAAGTGCTAGATGACTGAGGGCCCTAACCTACCAGCTAATTAGCATTTGTAGGAAATGTCATAAAGTCTTAGCTCTCATGTAATAATTGGAATCTGTACGTGGAGTGGCTGGACTGTGCACACTAGGTGATATTGTCCAGTTCATGTTAAATTAAAATGTGTTGTACAATTAATTGTATGCATTACTGTTAGCTGTGTTCTGAAAAAGAGGATATTTACATACGGTCAGACGAAGAGTATGGTAGTGTAAACAAATGAGCCCTACTTCTTGTGCTTAGCAATTTGCATCAGTATTATTTCTTGATGCAGGAAT